CTAATGTACTTTTCATCTTAGACGCTGTAGTTTCAACCTTAGAAGTCCAGTCTTGGGTCTTTTCCATATCCCTCCTGTGTACTTGACACGCTCCGCCCTTCCTCTAGCCTCCCACCATATGAGGACAGTTGTAACTCTGCTTCAGTGTCCCTATCTGTGTCACTTCAGGGTCACTTTGGTTGATTTTGTTTCTTTTTATTTCACTGGGTACTGGATATTTTTGTATTTCTATCAATACTCTTTACTTTGGGAGGTAAACTTACTTGGAAATAATTTGATCCTTTTGGATCTTGCCTTTAATCTCTGCTAGGCAGGATGAGAGCAGGATGTAACAGAGGTGGATTTTTTCTCCACTCCTGGACAGCGCTTTCTTAAGGCTCCAGTGCATGCCTCACTAGTTGTGAGGTTTTGTGCTCTGGTTGTGGAAGCAGGCCTGTGCCCTCTACAGGCACTCTCCCCTAACCCTTTCAAGGCTGTTCCTCATAGGCACACAGTAATCAGTACTCAGTACCCAAGGGGCCCCTCTGCAAATTCTTTCTCTCTGACTCTCCCTTCTCCAGTACTCAGCCCTCCGCCTTCCAGCTGCCTCTGCTCCCTAGGAGTGCAGATCCACCTCCAACTCGAGAGCTCACCAGCTTCTGCCTGCTCCCTTTACTGCTCCTGGGAGCCTGGGGGCCCTTTGGGGGGGCTGTTCAGTTTGCTGTACTACACCAAAGTTCTTAATTTTGACAAATGTACCCTCTAATATAACAAGTTAACTTCAGGGGAAGCTGGGTGAAGGAGGTGCAGGAACTCTCTGACCTATCATCCCAACTCTTCTGTAAATCTGAAACAATTCTTAAATAAGAAGGGGTTCTATTTTATTTTTATTAGAAAAAAAATGTTGCTTTTTGCTAAGAAATGAGAAGGCAGTAGCTACGCAGAGCACAAAACACTGTGAATCCTGACAGCAGCCCTCGGGAGAAACCAAGAGTCTGACACGTGGACATCACGAAGAGCTGTGACCAGGTGCAGACCATGGGAGCTACTCATCCCATAACTGGGCAATAAAAACTAATTTTCTGGCTTCAGTTGGCTTTTCAAAAAAAACCATACAGGTCTAGGACATTGTTTAATAAGGGCCTTTGAAACGTCTTTGTATTAGAGTGTTTTTTTTTTAAATCTCCTTCTGTCTTCCTCTCGTTCCTCCTCTTCTTTTCCGTCCCGTTTTCTCATCTAGATCTCTCTCTGTGAATCCTTCCCTTTGACGGTTTAATTTGGGAGTCTTGACTCATTCAAATCTTCACTATTGGGGAAAAGTTAAGTGATGGAGAAGCCAGAAGTTCACCAGCGCTAAGAAGCAGCTGACTTAGAACCCTCCGCACCAATGATCACAACGGCAAGCGCTGGCAGGTTCCATTGAACACCTCTACAATAACGCAGCCAACTACCTTGAAGGATGAAAAGTTAATAGATGTCAGAAAGGACTTGAGGGTCCGACCAGGCTTTTCAGCTTTAAAGAGTCCCCCTAAAGTTAGACTCCGAGGAGATCTGGCTTTGGGGAGTATAAACATTATCACTTTGACAAGAAAGAGCTGCTTTCTCTGGAATCTTTTTATACATAGTAGATTTTAGGTCATCCTTAATTTTTTTACCTCCCGGTAGAGAGGGGGTCGTTGACCTACATACAGAGCCATTTCATTTTCTTACTCTTATGACAATGGTCCCCACACCTAGGGACCCAGCTCTGCTCTGCCCCTTTTAGTCGGCAATTCTCCGTGGGCATAGGACTTTAAAACCTTTGAGTCTCTGAGTTCCTGGGATTTAAAAAAAAAAAAAATTATGTGTGCTTCCTTCCAACCAGCAAGCTTCAGAATTCAGAATCCAACACACAGAAAGGGATATCAGTCCTTTCATCTGGAAGCTTTTGAAGAGGTTTTCCCAAAAAGAAAAGTTCCAGTAAAGTTACCTGTGCACACTGGCGGCCGGCCCGCCAGCCTCGCCCTATTTATTACCAGATTCCTCCCCTCGACCCTTCCATTCTTACTCTGAGATAATTAAAATGAGAAAAGAATTTGTTGAGTCCAGATTCTTTTTCTTGTCTATAGCTGTCTTGATTTAAATCAAAGCCGGAACAACTCACTTCCTTCATGGGACTTATTCATGAAAAGCACACAGCTTTGCTTTTGGGGGCTGGTTGTGTCAGATCAACTAAATGAAGAACAATTCATAAGCCAGAGTGAGATGAGGGGAAGTAGCTAATTATCTCAAGTGGGAACAGACATCATGGAAGAAAACCATTGCACGATTCTTTTCTAGTTCTGACCCAGCAGATTGAAATCCGGGGAGACGTAAACAAAGCACTAATGGTCTGCAGGGCTGTGGTTCCAGGACCCCTGAGGTCACCAAGATCCACAATGCTCAAGTCCCTTCTATAAAGTGGCACAGCTTTTGACACACATTCTCCCATGGACTTTAGATCATGTCTAGATGACCTACAATACCTAGCACAATGTCAAAGATATGGTCTGTGCTTTTTAGGGAATAATGACAAGCAATAAAATTCTGTGTTCAGGCAGGACAGATGCAATTGGTTTAACAGCTTCAATCCCTGGTTGGCTGACAGTGCAGATGCAGAACCCATGGATGTGGAGGACCGACTGCACACCAATGATCACAACAGAAAACAGTCGCTGTCGGGTCAGTATCTGAGCAGGAAGCTTGGGCTCCTTCCCCTACCCCACAGCCTCCAGCTGTTAACAAGGGTTTTACTGCATGAGAAGCAAGGCTCACAGGCTTGGATATGTCACCCAGAAAACACCCGCTCTTTCCACAGCTCAGAGGAGTGCTCGGTTCACCCTTCCAGTAGGAAGAAGGAAGGCATGGTCTTTTTCTTGTCTATGGCTGTCTTGATTTAAATGAAAGCCAGGACAACTTGCTTCCTTCGTGGGACTCATTAATGAAAAGCACACAGCTTTGCTTTTTTGGACTGGTTGTGTTTGATCAACTAAACGAAAAACAATTTATATGCCAGGAGTTCAACACATCTTAAGGAAGATTGAAGGAAGAGGAGCAACCCCCACTGGAGGACTTACTGTCTGTAGTTTAATGCACTCCTGAGTGTTAGCAGGTGTCTTTTTCCTACGATCATCTTAGGTCTGCAGGACTTGGTCATCCCCCATCACGAGATGAGAAAACTGAGGCTCAGAGAGGGCCAGTGCTTTGGCAGGGACAGTGTCAGAGTTGGGGCCCCAAACCAAGCATTGTGCAAAGGATGCTAAAAGATTGCCTCTCCCTTATTGACTGATTTATGTATATATAAACTGCCTATCATCTGGAAGTAGTTCCACTCATCTGTAACCATTAACTTTCAAACATGTTCTATTATAGGCTTTCAAAACTTCCCAGCCTTTGGTGGCATTCTGGGCAGATTTACTCATCTTTTGCTTCCCTCTGGGCATAAGCCTTAATCAGACGCTGCATGAAAGACAGATGCCAATGAGCACATCAAAAGGCATTCACCACCTTCAGTCATCAGAAAAATGCAAATTAAAACCAAAAAGATATTCACCATGTCACTGTAATGATACAGTCACTCAAAACAAATAAACATCTGACACCACCAAATGTCGACAAGAGTGTGGAGCCACTAGAACTCCCACACTTCGTTGCTGGGTGTGTAAAATGGTTAGATCTCTTTGGAACACTGGGAGTTAAAGGTTAAATGCATAACTACCTGCAATTCCACTTGTAGGTATTTACCTAAGAGTGAGAATATATGTCTACAAAAAGATTTATACAAAAATGTTCTTAGCAGCTCTGTTCATAATAGTCACAAAGTGGAAAACATCTAAATGTCTATCAATATCAATAAGAGAATGGATTAAAAATCATGGTATATCTAAGCGATTGAATATGATCCAGCAATAAAAACAAGAATGACTTGCTCTATGCTTAGAGCAATACAGATGAATTGTTGCATGCGCAGAGCAGATGCAAGAAAAATAGAAACTCCTAGAAAAAAATAAAACTGCACCATGGAGGGAGAAATTGCAGGGAGAAGTGGCTGCCTCTGGGGGTGATAACAAGTGGCAATCGATGCAAGAGGAAACATGGACATGTACTACATCTTGCCTGGGCTTTTGATTATGGTGATATATTCCTTGAATGATAAATTCATTCAATTATACTGTTAAGCCTATGCATTTCTCAGTATGTAAATTTTACTTTAAAGATTTATACACCTTTTCTCTCATCCAGATCAAACAAAACCCCCACTCCCACCCCTCCTTTTTCTCCTCCTCTCACTCTGGTGCTTCTGGGTCTCCTTCGCCATCCAGTATGTTGGGACCAGGACAAGAGAGGAGGGGGAGAAGCACTGTCTATTCTTGTGTCCAGGAAGGACCCTGGTGAAGCTGCTTGATGGACATGAGGGGAGGCAGTGGAGCTCTGAAATCTTGTTCCCTAAATCATGTCTCCATTCTCCAAGATGCAGGGCTCCATTTGTGATCTGAGGACAGTTTGCCCAAAATATCCCCTACTGCAGCCATGCAATGCTTCAGAAAAACATCAAATGGCAGCCATTGCTCCAAGGGAAACTGTGATGATAAAAATGACCAATAAGGTTTTCTCCTGAGCCCCCACCACCCTGAGGATCTGTCCGTTCACATCAGCCATTTCCACTGTCATGCGTATGCCTGATAGTCTCATAACTTAGCATCCCAGGAGAAAGCAAGCCAGAAGGAAACACAGACAGCAACGGGGTGATGGCAGGTCCCCAAAAGACAGCCTCAGCAGAAGGTCCAAGGAAATAAAGTGGAACTGCTCCTCCATCAAAGTCTCAGGCCTGTGGCTTCCCCATGCTTCATGCAGAGCCAGCGGGGGAATCAGTGCACAGGAGGGAACCTTCTCCAACGGCGCCCTTAGACAATGATACTGCATTTCCCCAAGTCCCCACCCACTTTCATGCAGCATCCATATTGTCCTCTGCCCCTACCCAGGGACCTAGCCTGCGGCTCCAGGCACCCTTCCCCTGGGACATGTCTGCAGCCCATCTGCTGCCACGTCAACTCCAAGAAGGAAAGGAGCAGCAGCCGGGATCCAAGGAGACTAGCTCCTCATGCCCATCACCCTGCAGACACACTGCTGAGCGCTGAGCCCCTTCTGTCTGTCAGAAGGGATTCTGGCAGCAATCATGTGAAGTAAAGGGCATGCCAGGATTGTCCAAGGGCTCCAGGGAATACGGAGAGAGAAACCGTTACCCAGGAGACAGGAGTTTCGCCTCCTTAGTATTTCTAACAAGAGCTTATGAGCAGCGTCTTTTGTCCCCTGCAAAAAAAAAAAAAAATTAAGCGATGTGTTCATCTGGAACGCAGCCATATTGGTAGAGTTCTTTGTGGTGCTTGTTGCTTTGTTCCTTCGGCATCATCTTTTTTGGGTGTGGAATCCCTCCCTTGCCCAGGGGGGCTGGAGCTCACCAAGTGCTGTGAGGCCACCGTGATGCCCTGGTCCCCACCTCCAGCCCCCTGCTCAGACCTCTGAAACTGAGTCGCACCCAGCACTAGGGAGAGTGAGACCTTCGTGCAGCAGCGTTGCTGGGAGTTCTGGGTGGGAGGAGGTGCCGGTGCCCACCCCACAGCTCGAGGCCCATGGGACAGGCTACTTCCTGCCCGGGCCCACTGCAGGGGCTGTCAGTGGGCCTCCCGGGAATTCCCATGAGTGCTAAGGCAGAAGCACTCCCTGCCTTGAGAGGAGAGGAGCATGGGAGGGGTGAAGGAGGGAGGAGCTTAGAGGTAACTTGAGGGCAATACTTGGTGTGGTTCCTGGCTCATGGAAGGTTCTAGACCAATAACACAGGCACGCTTTGCTTACTGGCCCCATCCTCCTGACAAACTGGTCACTAGACCCTCCATCCCTAGGTAGCTTCACACCGTAACGTCACAGCCGCACAAGCCTAGACAGCATGGCCCCTGCACACCTGGATGCTGGAGCCTATTGCTCCCAGGCTACGAATCAGGAGAGCAGGTCAACCTACTGGATACTGAGGGCAATAATGTCTGTGTGTACAAACATCTAAACCTAGAAAGGGTCTAGCAAAAATCCTAGGAGTTAGGAATTTTTCAGCTCCGTTATAAAAGCTTAGGCGACCACCATCATGTATGCTCACGGAAACTGACCAAACACAGACAGACGGTTGTGACTGTACTGGGGCCAGCAGTGAGGTGGACCATGTAACTGAGAATTTGGAGCCAGACCAGCAGGCCACCTGGGCTATGTCCTGGCTGCAAGGTCTCATGCAAGCCACTGGTCTTTGTTTAAGCCTTGATTTCCCTACCTGTAAATTCCACCAGAATCCTGAAGAGTTACAAGGACTAAAGGTCACATTTGTTTGTTTGTTTGTTTGTTTGTTTGTTTGTTTGTTTGTTTTAAAAAAAAAGACCAAGTATTGGGAAACCCAAAGCCTTTCCAGCTTATAACCAGGAGGCAGGGGAGTACCATTTGGGGGACTGTGTGAAGTGATTGGGAGGCAGAGAAGATGGGACAGAGAAAAGGTGGGAGAAGGAAATCCTAAGGCAGACGGGCGGGGGGCCTGGCTGACAGAGCAGGGGGCAGAGGAAGAGGCCAAGGACAAGAAAGCCCAGGCTGGGCAGGACCTCCCGCCAGAGGAGGTGACCAGGAAAAGCTGTGGCTTGGCAGGCTGCTGCCTGGTGGACAGGAGCTGAGTTGGGAGAGAGTGGACTCCCAGCTCACTTCCTCCTCGGCATGAATTAAAGAGACATGGATTCAACAGCCCTTGATGGCCCCTCTCCATTCACTCCTGCCTTTGGGTCAAGCTACTCTTTCTTTGTGCTGTCGACCTTGGGCCCTGGAACAGCTGTCAGCGAGTCATTATCCATGACAGGGATGAGGAACGGAGGGGGTGAGTGTGTCGGTCCAAGCGCCTTCTTACCAGAGGCTGTGGAGGTGGCATGGAGTCTCCTCCATCCCAGTGAGAGGGAAAGTGCCTCTCATGCTCCAGGTGGGAGTGCACCCCCTGCTCCCCACACCCACTGTTCCGCGCTGACCCAGGGCCCTTCCTGGCTTCTGCCCGTCCATCAGGATACCAGGAAACCTGTCGCACTCCCAGCTCTGAGTAAAAGGCTCAGCCCTCATGGGCTCCCCACACAAATCTGGGAGTTGTGCTCCCACTAGGCCATTTCTTCAACTGGGGACACAGACACAGCACTGGGGACCAGTGTTTGAGGAAGGGTCTGAGTGCCCGGGTCAGGTCTGAGAGGTCCCCGAGACTTTAGCCACTTTTCTGCTGATCGAGGAGTGAGCCGTGAGAGCCCAGCCGTTCTCCTCACCTTCCCGAGGCGTGGCCATGCCTGCAAACATTCCGGGGCTGCGGCTTATGCCTGAACAGATCAGCGGACAAGCTGAGAGTGTTTGGGAAACTGGAAAGCAGGGCTGACATTATTGGAATCTGCGAGCTGCTGCTGGAGCTGCTGAGGGTGGCTTGTGATTAATAATGCCAGCTGTGGCTATATCAAACTGTTACTCTGCCTTATGTTGGAAAATTAGAAAATACAGGCAGGTGAAAAGGAAATCAAAGCCCCCGTCACCCAGTCATCCAGAGACAACCAGAGACAACACATGCTGCCCTGCCATGTCTGGTCTTTCCTTCCACACTCATAGACATGGGCAGCTTTTCTACATGGGATGGGCACAGTGCTGCTTGGTATTGGACTATCCACATGTCCAGGACACAGCCCCCTCTGCACCATCACTCAGGTTCTCAAGCTTCATTTTTTTTTAAAAATTTTTTTTTAAGATGGACACGTTATCTTTACTATATTTATTTTATTTCTTTTTATGTGGTGCCAAGAATCCAACCCAGTGCGTCACATGTGCCCTACCACTGAGCCACAGTCACAGCCCTCTCGAGCTTCATTTTTTAAATATTTTTTTAGTTGTAAATGGACACAATACCTTCATTTTATTTGTTTATTTTTATGTGGTGCCAGGGATTGAACCCAGTGCCTCACGCATGCTCGGCTAGCGCTCTGCCACTGAGCCCCAGCCCCAGCCCTGGAGCTTCGTTTTTATTAACTGCCCACAGTGTGGCGACAGAGACGCGCCCTCTGCCAATCTGTGCTGTTGTGTTGCTTCGTACCTGCGATTCTGCAGTGCTAACCACTGCCCACGGTCAGGAAGGCCAAGGTCGAGCTACCTGGAGGCTCCTCATTAAGGCAGAAAAGAGCACCCTCCACCCTCTGGAAGGCGG